AATAATTGAAATTTCTATCTCAATCTCGGCATAATCTATTAAGACTTCATCGTGTGTATATAAAAAATATGATTTTGTGAATCAAATATTACTTCAATCAATATTGTTCTTTATTCATCAATAAAACATATTGCACGAATATATTTTTCTATTTTTTACCATTTGCCCTTTCTATTCAATTGATTCAGTAAATTGCATAGCAGCACATCCATTATCTCAAAACATTTTGCTGTAAATTGCCAAAACATTTAACCCGCATTGCAATTTTTTTTAGCTCAAACGCTACGCTTAGAAGTTGTGTATGCAGAAGTCAGAACAGAAGTTAAATATAGCATCAAAGAACATGTAATAAAAGTATTGGGACACTTGTATGAATGAACACACACATTCGTTTCATCATAAATTTTATTTTACAGTTCTTAAATGACCCATCTACCACAGAATATATGAACGAATGAATAAAATGAAAGGATTTTATTTTCAAACAATCAGATTTAGACGAAAATAGAATACCAAAAGCAGGATTATTGACAATTCGTTTATAAGATATACGATAAAAATATAATTATAATATCATATAAAAAAATTATCATCACTAAATCTCGCAAAATTGGGCGCCATTTTCATAAAATTTTAATTTTTCAAAAAAGGTCTTCGATATTTTGCATATGTTCATACTACTCCTAGAACATATCGCCAACAGAATGGGCGGTTATTTAGCATTCCAGAATCTCCAAAGAAATGGGTTTGCAAACAATGTTACTATATAAATGTATATGTATGAATTTGGATAATATTAGGTTCATTTTCCAATCAAATGAACTGTAATTTATAATTCCGGGTTTATGGATTCTTCGCAGAAATATGTCAGATTCTGCTCACTTTTATGTATTCGGATACTCCCTGATGTATTTTCAAACTGAAAATGTTTCGCAAATATTTCCAATATTTAGTTTATTTGAGATGCTGATGGACTAGCTTAATTTTTCATCCTAAGTGTGATGTTTCGTTTTCTCAGAGGATTAAAACCGTCTGCCAGGCAATTAACAAAACTGGGCCCTAAATGTTCCGACCGATATATGGTGATATGAAGAACTGTAGGTGTCGATCGTTGTCAGTTGCTTTATTTGGTCAAGAGTGTTCGGTTGTTAAGTGCCTGCCACCACGCAACACTTCCATAGACTTACATCCAGTGTACGATCTCCGGTTTTAATCCCCAGCTCTATTGATTAGACCTCTTGTGGATAAAGAATGTAGAGAAATCTACATTCCTTATCCACTTTAATTTGTGGTAAAGGTCAGTTGTTCAGGGTTGACCCCAAGACCATTAGTTTGGGTCCAATTTTACTGAGTAGGATCCCATCGCCAGGAGCCAGGACAAGGAAGAGCATATTCCTCCCAGTAACATCTTTCCAAGCAGAATCATCAATTGATTCTGCTTCTCAGCATCCCATTAATTCAATCAATTGTGTATTCTAGTGCGGAATGGACAAATTCCAGTTTTATGTTATGTTATAGGAACACAGCCAAGGTGAGGGTGTAGTTATCCATATAACCCATAACCCTCTTAATACATATTCCTCTCACTTCATGCAAAGATGTATCAACTAATCTTGTCCAGATCAAACGAAGATAGCCTAATCCGTCTATAGTATTTCTGTAAAGTATGACTTGTTTTCCCGACATTTCGGATGAAGGTTACAATTAAATCCTTCCATTGACTTAGTGTGTATGATACACGCAGACGATCCCTAAAATGTCCTTTCAGTGTGATCAACACTCCGGATATATGTTACCGCATGCCGGGTATTACGTCATTTGATCCCGCGGATATGTAGGCTTGAAAATTTTTATTGCCTATACAAGTTTTGGTTAGCTTAGCAGGCCTTTTATCACCTTTTCTTTCTCGGTTCGAACTCTATGTTGATGGTTACATGTAGCTCTGTAGCTCAAATTGGTGGTTACATGTAGCTCTGGAGGATATAATAGCTTCCTTTTATTTTAATTCGACTCAGAATAAATTCCCAAAATATAATTATTTTAATAACTACTTTGCCATTATATAGCCATAATTTATAAGACACATATTATGCATTTAGAAATCTTTTGAAGCACATTACAACTGCAACTTAATACAACCGGCATTTCATGATTTAACAATTTTCGACAGACACGTCCGCACAATTTCAACAGATACATTACATTTCAATAACACTTTTATCATTCGGAAATCTTTTCAGTATCATACTATGAATGTACGTCATATACTCCAATTTCAATCAGATTTCATTTGGAACATGCTGGCAGTCTCAAAATGCATACTCTTACTCATACTCATGTGTTGCTGGTAGTGGCTAATAAATGATTCTCAGAACTTTAAATTTTACGAACAGTAGAATATAGATATGATAGGGATATAAAAGGTATGACATGATTCAATTGTTTTGAGACTTCAAAATTTTCAAATACACCGCGCCATCCTCAAATAATTACATACAATAAACTCGATATAAATTATTTCGAATATTCACGCATTTCATTCAAAACGATACATTAACATACTTCAAGAAAATTGTCCCTTATTTAACCACAGTGACACCTATAAATTTTCATTAAATATGCCAAATTATACTATAACAAAATTCCACATACCAAAACTGACAAATTTCTTACATACATATCCGCCTGATGACTTTAAACGGCTTCGGGGGAAAGAATGAAGTGTTATGATGATAACCCAGAACTCTATGTACCACAAATCAACTATATCCACATCTGGTTACATTCATATGCATGTGAATATTGATGAAAAACTTATTTGTAATTCAAATCACATTTCAACAACAATGTTGAATGAACACTCCAACCGTAAAGCTGGCGAACATAATGGCGAACATAACAAAATCACGATATCTAAATTGAGGTACATAGTTGTGAATTAGACAAAAAAGTGAATTATTTATAAATTGAATATATTTACAAGAGTACATAGATATGTACGTAGATGGATGACACTTTTGTGACCTAATAACACATTCGAGTAGAATATGTGTTTTGATATTTGACGTCTTAACTTAAATGATACAAATTGATTATTTTGTTTTCACCTTCAGTATATTAACAAAATTGGCTTTAATATGGAATTCGAAAAAAAAATTGAAAATCCACCCACAGTCGAAAAACTTAAAACCAGACTTAAACAAAAGCCTTATTTAATAAATCAAAGCCCAACTCTCAAAAAATGCATGGATTAGTCCTCGTGCCATGAATTCGTTAGATTTGCAGCAAGACTGCAAGTTCATTTGACCAACATATGGACAGAGTTTTTTCCCAGGGTAGGTTACGGGACAAGACGTCTTCCAGTTCAAAGAATTCCTGTTACACCGCGCCAGGGCCACATACATGATTTCATTAATTTACTGTGAAAAAAAATTAATTTGGTGGACCGGTATACTGCTTTTCATCATCCTCCACCGTTTGGAGGTCATATTGACCATCGAACCCGCCAAATGAAGAGCTCATTCAGACTGAAAATCAATGATCCTCACAGATGCACCCATCGGGAATGACTCGATCAATGTTGTCACACGTTGGTCTTCGGGGAAATCCTGATTGAGCAGCATTGTCGCTAAGCATCGGTATTGGTCTCTGGACCTCTGTTTAGAAACAGCAAGTTCAGCTTTCGCCTCTTCCTTGCCGTTCTTAGTAGGGGCCTTTGTTGACGTAACCGATCTGAAAGAATTTCTTGTCGGTATTCGAATTCCTATCCCAATGGATGAACTCGCCTTTGATTGAAAGTCTTGAATTGCCACTGCCTGCCATGGAAAAATATCGTGAGTTTCTTGTTCTGAAGGAATTTTTTTGTCGGTAATCATAATCTTATCCCGATAGATTAACTGGCCCTTGCCTTATAAGTTTTGAATTGCCACTGCCCGCCATGGAATTAGGACTTTTGTGTTGATCACAGTGGTATCCATAGCGTCTTCCTTGGCCGTTAATCATCCCAGAGAGAGGTTGAGATATTTTCTTAAATGAAACTGATGGAAGCGGTTTCCTCAATTGAATCGTGAAAAAGATGATCCTGGAGAGATATACACTCATATTCAGACTATCGATCAACTCTACCCACATGTCGATGTTTGCTAGTATAACCATTATGTTTTTGGCCCAGTATCGAACCTTTCTTTTACGGAATAATAACTCACAGACTCATCCCCTCGTTCTGTAGCATCATTTGCACTCAAAACAGAAGTCCCTTTTCCAAAATGTCTTGCTGTCCTTCCTTGCCGCAGCCTAGTTCTGACATAGCATTCTCTTTTTTCAATTTTCTTCTCTTTGGATTTTCAACCAAGCTGGCCGAATTTCCTCCACCTTTAAGGAAAATTCTTCAACATCAATTTCATGTACATTCGGTCGCAGATCCGATTCGAAGGACCAATGTAAACGGGGATCTTTATGACACCGATATTCTCGGTGGAGTGTGTAAATGCACATAAACTGGAATTAGGAGGGAAACACATAAGAGGACTCCAGGATTGGTATGTTAAGTTGGCTTATTTTATTGTAAAAGAATAATGGAGAACGGCGCTCAAAACGAAAAATATTTGTGATAACATTGAAAACATACAGATTTATTGCTAAAAATAATAAAATGGACAGACAATGGAACATTTTAGTACTGAGTTAATTATTAAAAGATTATTAAGAATTACTATTAGATATTCAACAATATTTTTCCGATATTTCAAGAACCGATTTAGAATATTTTTTTATTTGTTATTCAATTTAAAATCCGAATTCTTGCCTTCATTAATTCTGCAGTTAAATCATTACTAATGATGATCTGGCAACGCCATCTCACAAACTCTATTGTGAATGGTTTACCTTATCAGCTGTCAGATTAGAACAGAAGAAAAAAACACCAACAGTTCATTGAAAAGACAATATCGGACGAATTAATTGATACGGAAAAAACACACAGACACTATCCATCGGAAAACATGAGTAAATTACAATGCGAACACACACTCCAAGGACACAAGGGACGTATTTGGTGTGTATCATGGCATCCAAAGGGTAATGCATTTGCCTCGTGTGGTGAGGATAAAACCATAAGGATTTGGTCACTGTCGGGTAATACTTGGACAACAAAAACAATACTCTCGGATGGACACAAACGGACAATACGCAGTGTGGCATGGTCAAAGTGTGGACAATATTTGGCATCGGCAAGTTTTGATGGCACGACAGCTATTTGGTCGAAGGCGTCAGGTAAGTTTCAAAATTTATAATTTTGACAGAAGTTTGGGTTGCACATTTCAATCGATCTAATACTCAAAATACAGTCAATATCGTTTATAATGACGATATATCGGTTATAACGGTGGTAACCAAAAGCCCAGGTAAAAATTTCCGCCCACATTTGTTATCCCTTATAGCGCCCAATTTCGACGGTCCCTTGACCGTTGTTATAAGCGATTTCGACTGTAGTAAGTTTAGATCGATCCGTTAAGCTTCCCTTAAATTATATATGGATATGTTTTCCTTATTTAATGCCCCTCTCCTTTCCAGGTGAATTTGAATGCAATGCCACATTGGAGGGCCACGAAAACGAGGTGAAAAGTTGTAGCTGGTCCAGCTCCGGCTCATTGTTGGCCACATGCTCCCGCGATAAATCCGTTTGGATTTGGGAAGTCACTGGTGATGATGATTTTGAATGTGCCGCTGTCTTAAACGCCCATACTCAGGATGTCAAACGCGTTATATGGCATCCCACGAAGGAGGTCTTGGCTTCATGTTCCTATGATAACAGCATTAAAATGTATGCCGAAAATGCCCTGGATAATGATTGGGAATGCACGGCCACACTGGGTGGACATTCCAGCACGGTCTGGGCTATTGATTTTGATGCTGAGGGAGATCGCCTTGTTTCAGTTAGTGATGATTGTAATATGAAAATATGGCGTGCCTATGCTCCTGGTAATCCTGAAGGTATTGCTACGCCGGATAATGAAACCGTTTGGAAATGTGTTTGCACCGTGGCCGGGGAGCATTCTCGTACTATTTACGATGTATCATGGTGTAAATTGACGGGACTTATTGCCACAGCTTGTGGTGATGATGCCATTAGAATATTCAAAGAGGATGAAGAGACTTCAACGAAAAATGAACCGGTGTTTGTTCTGGCCACAGCTCAAGATAAGGCCCATATGCAAGATGTCAATAAGGTCACATGGAATCCGGTTGTACAACATCAACTTGTGTCATGTAGTGATGATGGTACCATTAAAATTTGGAAGTTTGTGGAATAATAAAGTGTTAACAAAGAGATTTATTTTCATACAATAAATTAGACAATAAAAAAAGATATTTAATTATTTTGTTAGGAAAGGTTCCTGTAGGGTTTTGTACAATTTCTTGGCTTTACGTGGTCCCAGACCCGTAACCTGTGACAAACGTTCTTCACTGGCATTTACGATTTTTTCCAAACTACCGAAATTTTGCAATAACGTGGTGGCATCGGTTTTGTTGACAGGTTTTATGTTCGTTAGGGCAGAGACAAGCTATAAAAGAATAGGTTTAACAAATTTCCATAACATAGGTCTGCAGAAATATATAACTACCTTTTGATGTGGATTCGCATCCACACGTTCCATGATCCAATCCGGTGGCTTTTTCTCAAAAAGTTTGTAAGTTTCAATAATTTTCCCCGCCTCCTCGGCATTCCATGCCAACATCAATGTTAAATCCGCCAAAAGACTAATACGTGTAAGTGTTTTGAGAGCTCCATGTGGTTCGGGTATATCAACCTGCACCAACAAAACACGTAATTCAAATAATTTACCCAACTCCTTTAGCCTCTGACATATATAATCAGGATTCAGTTGATGATATTTCAGCGATAAATATAAAACACAAGTTGTCCTGCCCACAACATAATCTGGTATAATATCATCACGATATTCTAAGGGACAATTTAGTATGGATTTTAATATGGGATTTCCTCTTTGCTTCGTATGTACCAAGATGCAGTGAGGATTTGAGGCAGTGATTTTGGCAGCAGTTTTGGGAATTTCATCAGGTTTGTTTTTTTGTACTGTGGTGGTAGCTGCTGGCGGGTTGTTTTGCTTTGGTGGAATTGTGGGTTTCCTTGCAGGTGGTGTTGGTTCCTTTCGAGGAATTTTTGCCGGTACTGGTATTTCCATTGTGGCCAGAGCCAAGTCGAAGGAATCATCATGGTCATCCATTTTTTGGGGATTAATTTATTAAAGGGGTTATAAATATTCAATTGTTTTGTATAAAATTCTGTTTGTTTACTTAAATAATTCACAATAGACACTCCACTGCAAATCAATCACAATAATTAATAGCACATATTAGAAGGGGTAATACAATTTTTCTAATTTGAAATTTTAAAACTTTCGCTACAAGCCATTGGCTGGAATCAGGACAAGAAAATTAGTATGTTGTATCCTCCGTGTATCTGTCTTGGGAAGATGCCGGCTCACCGACAAAGCTCAGCAAAAGGGGGAGCTGTTAAACATGATGGGGAGCATTCATTTAAAAGAAAATGATTTTTCTTTTAAATGAATTAAAGGCGGAACACATATGAGGATTCAGGCTTGTTATTAATAATATTAATATATCTTGGTATGAAATATCAATTTATAAAGGAATATTAGAATCAAACGTGTTTTCTCCTTTTACAATAAAAGACGCCAACATAACATGCCAATCCTGAAGTCCTGTGTTTCCCACTTAAGACTTCAGGACAGACATAACTCTCAAAAAGTTTAGATAGAAAAAGTATCTGAAAAGTGCTTCTAGACTAGAATTTGGCGAACTACCAATATCGGAGTAAAAAAGAAGCCTTGTAGGAATCCTAAGAATTGGAACGACACATTTTTCGTCTAACGCTGTAGTAAGTTCGCCGAGAATTACTTTGAAATTCTATAACACAGATAATCTTAAAGCTGGGACCTACCGGTAGTCGTCAGTTTGAGTTTCATTCTAAGCTCAACCGTTCTTCTAAGTAGAGACGGGGATAAGTAATCTTCGCTGGACAGATAACTGAATTCTTGGGATTAGAGACCTTGATAAGAAATCTAGGCGGGGAATACAAGAGGATGAATAGGAGTAGAAACCTTGATACTCTAGCGATGACTAGGATATGGATGCTCTACCTACATTAAGACCTTACTAAGTTATCATGTAAGGATACGAAGTAATTCTTGGGCAAGATTCTGTACAAAGTACTCACAAAACGATACGAAAGGGTTATACTGCAAGGGATAACTTAATATATACTCGCCTAGGGGTAGCAGAGCTGAATGCTAACGGACCTTCTCCTCAATCTTATAGAGGAAACTTGCTCCTTCTGTCTTGACAGACGAGGAAGACGTCATGGATAATTCGGTGATTAGTACTACAGCGACTACTAAAATAGCTATCCTGGTGACTCCTCCAAATCAAGGTGAGTACTCTCAGATGTTGAGTAGGGACGTAAAACCTGGCGAGGAAGAGGATCGAAACTATCTCCACGGGCTGTAGTGAAGTCCCCAGACTACTGGTGCTGATGAGTTTCACATCGTAAAGATGGATGAATCATCGGAAACAATCTCTGACAAGATTTATCGGAGAGCGATTAATTACTGCAATCGGTTTATCGCAAGGGACAGAGACTCAATTACGGAAAAGGAATTACTTCTAATTAATAGGAACTCTAAATTCTGCTGGAAGTTCTCCAGGAAATATCAGAATTATATTGCGAGGATTTCTTAATTGATAGAATTCCTACATCACCCCTTTGTAATTATCGACGATGGTGCTACCCACCGAAATCAAAATGGGTATGTTGAATTGCATATCGAGGCCTTAGGATATCGGAAGCCCATTTGGGGCCCAACAAACACCATGTTGTGAGTATTTGCTTCGCGCCGAATGATAGCAATTTAAAAATCTTTGATTGGGTCTCTAAAATAGCGTTTGGTAACTGTCTGTGGTAGTCCTTTAAAATGTTGCTCTAAAAATAGTTTTTTAAAAATTTAATATAAAAAATCCACGAAAATCCTCTAAAAAAATTACTCTTCTGATTGTGATATTCCCTTAAAATCCATTAAAAACTTACCCTTCCTTTAAAATAGGACTTTAAACCCCCATGCTTCTGTTTGTGATAGTTCTTTAAATAACTGGCTTAAAAATGAACTTCCCTAACTGTGATACTTCGGGCAAAACTGTGTTTAAAATATTTCCATTCACAATAATGATTTGTTTACATTTTTTTGTTGGTCTTTTCTCCCTCCCTCACTCTTCTAATACAAACCACATTACAGCAAAAACCCACCCACTACCAACCAACCTACCCGAATCAAAACAAGTAAAATTTCTATGCAAAAATTTCTCTACACGTTCGTTATCACTTCTGTGCATTCCTACCAACATTCCTTAAGAAAAAGAAAACAGTGTGATGCTATTCTAAATTAAAAACGATATCAAAATAATTAAAAACGAAACTCAATAATGAATGGATTGATTGTTTTCAACAATTCCAACGATGTGGTCTATCAGAAATTCAATAAAAAGTTACAACATCACTTTTTGGACAAGGCCATAGAACAGGGATTGTTGCCGGAGGAATTCGCCAAAGATAGTTGTGGTAGAAAAATCGATCAAAATGTTCTGGTGCAGCTGTTTAGTCCCCTGATAAATTCCCAACGTATTATGCATTGTCAATTCGATAATTGCTATGCCAGTATCCAGTGTGAGGAGGATTTGAATTTGGTATTTGGCGAAGTACTGGGCTATCAGTTTATAAGTATTGCACAGGAAAAGCTGGAATTGATGCAGCGACGAATGGGTGTGGTTATTGCCCTAGCTAAGGCATGCTATGGACCAAATCTCTTTGCCAGTGATGTTCAGGAGGAGTTGTTTACAACATGTATGGAGTGCTACGAGGATGAAATACGTGACACCGATTTGATATTACAAGTTGAAGCCCTACCCCGGCTAATTATCAATGCGGAGCTGCGAAGAGCTGTAAAGGG